ATGGCGCCGTAAATATCAATAATTAAGACGGCATTATGTCTTGGGAAATAATTATTATAATGGGGCCGATCATTTCGAAATGGAAAGTCTCGATAAGTTTCTTAAGGCTTTTATCGCGGATGAGGCGCACACAATGCGTGCGAAATGTAACGAAGAAACGCTAAAACCGGTTTTTCACGATCGGGATCAAGTTAAATAAGATCGAACACAATCTTTCTCTGTCCTTTTAAGGATTCTTCATTTACTAAAGAGACATCGATCATGAAATATCGCCAATATGACTGGCGGTATAAACGTTCATCTCAAAAGATTATTACAGAGATCGTAGCTTTGCGTCAAGGTAAAAAAAAGGAGCTATCATTATTACCAGGATATTGTCTCGAGTATTGTTCTCCATCGAGGCATAAATTGCGAGTCATATTTGTTACATTTGCATGCTCTAAAGCGTACAAGGCGAAGGGAAAAAAACTGCATTGATTTAAAAAGATTGTTGCATTATTTACTTAGTCAGAAATATGTGCAATTTCAGAAGACAAACATACAACGTAATCAGGGCACCATTAATCAAGTAATGTCTGAAATACGTACTTCACTTTCTTACCAAAATACTTTTTTTCTTTTTATCGGTCACCTTTTTATTCGTATTTATTTCAAAATCTTCAGGATTATAATTAATTCCTTTGACTCGTATGGATCTCTCTTACATACTTGTTAAATTTATTCTTCTATCGACCATTTATTACGTTCCACTTATGTTTTTTCCTATACTTTGAGTAAATAATATCACATTTGCCAACTGTTCTTGTCCTGTTCGATGTTTCTCGTGTTCCCCTTACTGTTGAGCCTTCGTTTATTGATTAATTAAGAAACAGTTTCCGCTAAACAAATCTAAGAACAAAATGTCTTAGAATGTATGGAAAGTGGAAATAGATAACATTCCAAGTGATTACATTTCAAACTGATCCTCGTTACTGAAACTGGCGAGACTAATGTCTCGCCATTAATACGGCTCTCGTGCTAGAGGCTATATATGAAATAAAGGATTCTTCTTGAGAGCTTCCCACGGGCCAAGGTGTACGTCGTACATTCGGCAAGAACTTTCCTCCGGTGGAACTTTCGTCTGCGACTCTTGAGTTATCGACCGTTGAATATTTAAATTTGCGAAAGACTGCGATCGTCCTCGGCGCGCTTATTTTCTGAAGTATTGTATGCAAATGCGCGTCGCGGGGAACGGCGGTTTATGCGTGCACCTCGCTTTAGTTCTAAGACACCAGGTGTAAGTTAAAGTAAGTCGGTAGCTTTATCCGGGCCGAACATTGTCCCCGGGACATGAATTGCGACGAGAATGCAAGGCGCGCTCTTGTGCCAGCATGCAGAAAAGAAGGTGTGTAACAATGTGTTTTCAGTTAGATTCTTGTCGAGTCAAGAGAGCACCGAGAGTCTGCCGGCGCGGCGGCGTCGCGGTGCGTTTAGCTTCGATGTGCATTCGACATCAACCGAGTGGCCCAATAACGCAACCGCCGCAGCATCGAGAGATTCAGGGCGCCATTGTTTCACGGTAAGTCCGAAGAATACGGAGTCGAACTGCCAGCTTTAAGTCGGACGAGAAAGAGAAACCGTACGACTTCTGCGTTACAAAGATAGAGAGCAAGTAAATAAGTCCTTCGGAGATTATCTCAACGAGCTTGCTCCGTCTCTGGGCAATCAAGTTGTCCAAAATGCGCGCTCAGGCATATCACGTTGTACAGTAGCAAAGGTATTTTTAAGCACCTCAATCGGCCAATATATATACATATGCGAAATTACATCGGTTTCGAGAATAGATTTGACGCCGTTTCGCAAATTGATATCTTTGATGCGCTTGAAAATACAGGGTATCTAGTGGTCAGGGATGTCTGGAAAACCGGGAATTTTAGAAGTCTGGAAATGTCAGGGTAAAGTCAGGAAATTTTACGATTTATCTGGATTTTTTACATCGTTTCATATTTTTTCTGAATAATTTAAAGTTTTTAGAAAATAAACTTCTCTTTGGCTCTCAGTACACTAATTTTCTGTTCTGCTAAACGTCAATTTATTTATAAGCGTGGTCGATAATTTATATTTTCATCGTCGTGTTATTTTATTTCAATGCGTTCAACTGAGACCAAACTATAAAAAAAAAGAATTACTAAACAACACTATCTAGTAAGTTGTAAACAAAATGCAGTTAAGCAAAACGAAAGCAACATATATAATTACGCACGGTATCACGAATGGTTTGAATGGTTCGTAATTATATGTTCGTTCCTATTATACAATGTATTATACATAGATAGTATTGTATAATTGCTTTAATTTACGTTGTTACCTTTTTAAATTCCGGACTTTTGTTTCCCGAGAAAAATATTTCAAGGACTTCGTCATTTAACATTTACTTAGTTTACCATACAGACGCAAATTATACATCTTGAAAAAAATTACACTAAACGGTCAGGGAAAAATTAATTCCCGCTCCTGGAGAACCTGAAAAAGTCAGGGAATTTTTTCACTGAGTTTACTGGACGCCCTGAAACACGGCACTACTGTGCAGTGTGGCATACCTGAGCGCGCGAATTTCGAACAACTTGATTGGTCAACTTTGAACGCTTCTCATTTAAAAAGTATTACAACCCCGGCATTTTGCTATTAGGGTTTTCGTCTCAAAATAATCTCAGGAATCTGTCGTTAACGGGTGGCGCGTTAGGTCTGGAAGGTCTTCGGACAATCAAATTGCCCGAAATTCTCACCTGGACGTTAATGATTTCAAGGGGATCAATTCAGACAACGTATGCGAAATATTAGTTTCAAGAATCGATGTGCTTGAAAACGTGGTACCTTCACTACTGTGCAACGCGACATGCCTGAGCACGCGAATTTCGAACAACTTGATCGGTCAACTTTGAACGCGTCTCATTTAAAAAGTATTACAACCACGGCATTTTGCTATTAGGATTTTTGTCTCAAAACAATCTCAGGGATCTGTCGTTAACCTACGGTAAGTTAGGTTTGGGACACCCTGTATACGCATTAGCGAATATAGTCACGTTATCGTGTTATTACGTATACTTATCTATTCCGCGCTTGACATATGTATATTAGCATGATCCGTCAGCAAGATATCAATTAGGCGAAACGGCGTTTCGGGCACACGTTATCATGCCATTCGCTATCGCGAATACGTCACGCAGGGATCCGCGGTACACGTTCACGTGTCACGGGTGTTTCTGCAAGCGACATCATCGTTACAGGCGTAATCGTCCGGTTCATCATTCGCCCGCTCGCTCGCTCCCTCGCTCCCTCGCTCGTTCGTTAGTTCTGACGTAAGAACACATTGTTCTCACCTCGGCGCAACTCAAGCTAAACGTAGAACGCACTCGTGCATTTTCCTTCGTTTGTCGACCGGAGCGCGGCGCGAGAGGCAGGGGGAAAATCGAGAACGAGATTGAATCGGAGATGAGAGAAAGAGAGAGAGGGGGAGGAGGAGGAGGAGGGGGAGAGAGAGAGAAACAGAGAGGGGGGAGAGAGAGAAGAAAGGACGCCGCGATGCCGGAGAGAAGGTGAAGGTGGCTCGCCCGTACAAATGTGGAAGAAGGTAGCGGCGTGGAAAAAGGTGGAAGAGGGGCCTTGACCGATGCGTGATCATCGGCTTGTGGACAACGAACGGACGTTCGTGCAACGTTCGGCCGGCGATTCAGGAATGCCTCCTCTCCGCTGTACCGTTATGTCGCGGAACGCCTCGACCGGACGATCTATCGACGGCGATCTAGAAAGCAAGCGCGACGAAAGTGTTCCGGTTAGGAAGCGAAATCCTGATCGATCCTCGCGCCGCGCCCCGCGACGAGCGCTCTTGCGTTTCGCGGGACGGAGCGCGGCTCGACGGAAACGCAGCTCGATGTTCCGCCGATCCGTTTCTATTTCCTTTTCTCTCTCTCTCTCTCTCTCTCTCTCTCTATCTCTCTTCTTTTACAATACGCCGTGCGCAACCAGCGTGGCGACACGTTTTGCAGCGTACGGTCCGCGGCCGGGAGCTTCGTGGCGCTTTGAAGATAACAGTTTCTTTTTTTTTTTCGTTTTTTTCGCGGATCGTCGGGAACCGGTTCGGAGGAGGAGCCACGAAACTCCGATAGGAGTTACTCACGGATCGCAGCGATATTAAGAACATACGCATTTTTACGAGGCAAGGCGGGAAACGTTGATCCGCGCGAGATACAAATAATTGAGTTGGATGTAATTTAACTCCTGCGCGCTCGGCGATTATAAAAATCGGTTCACTTTTTCCCATCGGTTTCTTTGATCGGTCCCGAGATGATTCGTAAATCTCGAGAAACGCCGTCGTTTCTTATTACGTCTTTTCCCGATTGCATATTTTTGCGATCGAGCCTTAAATCGCGGTTTAAAGTAAAGTGTTTCGGAGTCTGTTTGGAAAAAAATGGCAGAAAATATTTTCCCCGAAAGTTTGACTCGTCTAAAAACAGGCCCCGCCGTTTCCCGTCGCAATAATGAATCGGTGAATCGCAAACGCGAGTGAAGGAAAATCAATTGCAACGCACAGCGGAAGAACCCGTTGACCGACACTTCGTAGGTGATTATTACTCCTGGGAATAATAATCGAGTCGGAACTGTCACGTGCAAAAAATTAATGATGACAAACGTCCGAAGGAAGAGGTGCACGATACGTTTGGGTAGCCGACAATTTATTTACAGCGACGATAAGTGCGCAACAGGTTTCCACACATTTTGCGGAAGTCGCGTGGTTACATAACGCCAAGTGTCACACTTCCTGGTAGTGCAAAAAAAAAGGAGAGAGATTAAGAGGAAAAAGAGAGCGAGCGAGAGAGAGAGAGAGAGAGGGGGGAGAGAGAGAGAGAGAGAAAAAGATTGACAAACGTCATCCGTCGAGAGGAAGAGTCTTCTAACGCTGAGCGAGCAGCCGGTTGCACGTGGCGCGATAAGCATCGCGAGATCGGAATATCCGGGAGACCTCGGAGGATGATCGCACCTCGGGACGGGATTAGAACAAGGGTGTGGTTTTTTAAACGAGGCTCCAGCTCCCAGCGTTACTCGGTGGAAGGCTGTTTCTTCGGACTTTCGGGCCGGGTAATCGGCCGGGCGCGCCCGGGCGCATATTCGGGGCATATTCAGAGCGCGAGAGAGCAGCAGGTGGAAGCGGTTCTGGAGCGGGAACTGGTTTGGTGGGAGCCGCAAGGTGGTCCACCGCCGGTACCTCTCGGTATACCAGCCGGGCCGGCACGGCGCGGCGCGCTCTCGCTGGCACGTTGTCGCGCGAGTGTATTCATGCCAGTGGCGGGAGTCCCCGAGGGAACCCGGTGGGGCCTCCTCGCTCACTTCGCCGACAAGTGATCGTTTACAGTTATAGTCAGTCCGCATTGGGCGCTCGGCCGGCCCTGACTGGTATCGGCACACGTAGTCGCTGATAAAGCCTCGCTCTCGACTTTTTCGGATTTGTGCGCTCTCCGTCGCGGAGCTCTCTTCCCTTTCTCTTCTTCTCTCTCTCTCTCTCTCTCTTTCCCTCTCGTTCTCCCTTTTTCAGGACGGGAGCTCGCGATCGCGACGAGTAACAGTGATCCGGAGTCCTCCTCTTCCCTCCCACCTCTCTTCCTTGGACATTTTTCTAAATTTCCTTATCGTCGTCGCCGATAATCGCCGTCGACGCGACAACGTCGACTGCTCTCCCGAGTTTGAAACTGACAGCGGCGATTGACAGGGGCGTTCGTCGAGGGTCGCCGAGGGCAGCGGGCTCGCGGGCTAAGGTAGCGAACGATGATTTAGTGGCAGGAGATCAAGTGAGTGTCGTGTGAAAGGAAAAGTGTGCGGGACGTTCGGCGGCGAAAAGCGCGCTGGGTACCAGATACCAGTTTCAGTGAGCGTGCACTCGCCGCACTTACACGGTGCACTGATGGAGAACAATCGACCGACGAGGTAAATACATTGTTACCTTCTTTTTTCCTTTTACATTTCTACATTCGCGACGAGAGCCCGCTCGTCGCGAACACGTCCGCACTTTTGCGCCGCTCCGGAATGCGGCCGCTCGAGTTCCGGAACCGCGACGTTCTTCTGACGACGTCGGAATCACGGGGCCTCGTTCGCGGACTGCGGAGTGGCTTTCTAGCGCGCGCGCGCAATCTCTACGTGCGAACGGAAAAAGAAAATATAATTGATACGCGAAGCGCAGCCTGCGCAACCTCTCTCGCGACACGTGGCTCTTCCCAGAGCGGACAGTCTATTGGATAGTCTTTTAGGGCAAGTTTACACGATGGGTTTTTAGGACAATTAGTAGATAGGGCGAGACAGGTTTGGACACCTCGGCGGTAGATTTCATCTCAATTCGAAAATACACCTGTTTTTCTACTGCTACACTGGACAATTCGTGCAGCAAGGAATGAAAAAAAATACATGTACTCGTCTTGCTCTAATTTATTGCGCTAGTTCGCCAGTGCAGCAGTAGAAAACGAGCCTAAGGGTGCTATTATAATATTGTATATAATAGAAAATTTCTAGACACACGACAACTTTTCTATTCTGCAACCAATCAGCACGCTTGAAAAATTTGTGATACGATAGATACAATACCAGCCTAAGGCTATTACATTTGTCGTGCGACAAATTTTTCAAGCGTGTTGACTGGTTGCAGCATAGAAAATTTCTAAACACTCAAGATCTTCTCTATTCTGCAACCAATCAACACGCTTGAAAACTTTATCGCACGACAAATGTAACACAAGCCTAAGGGTACTATTACATTTGTCGTACGACAAATTTTTTAAGCGTGTTGATTGACTGCAAAATAGAAAACTTTTAGACACACGACAACTTTTCTGTTCTGCCATCAATCAATACGCTTGAAAAATTTGTCATACGACAAATATGCTACCAGCCTAAAGCTATTACATTTGTCGTGCGACAAATTTTTCAAGCGTGTTGACTGGTTGCAGAATAGAAAATTTCTAAACACTCAAGATCTTTTCTATTCTGCAACCAATCAAC